AGTATCAGAGCCATAATTATTAGATAATTTTTAAATTATGCTTTTCCCAAAATTGAATAAAGGAATAAATGATAATCTATGTTTTAAAGCTGCAATCAATTTCAAATTGAAATTAATTTCATAGCCCCTGTGTGAATGACACTGTAATTCTTATTGAAATATGAATGACCCGAGTTTAATTGAAAAAGCAAATTACGTGATTGGGTTGAAGGTGAATCATATATGAAAATGATTACTGCATGTTATAATTACGATGAAAGAAAGGTAAAATTTTATATCAAATGCTATCAGCATACATCATGCAGCTTGTCCATAGAGCACACGTGTGAAACACATGTTCCTTTTTCGGATTTATTACACCAATACAATAGAGAAAATGAAAAATGCATTATGCATAATTATTTTATATTATGGGAGAAATTATGCAAAATTATTATATGTTATGAGAGATTTTGTTTGTGAATAATTAGCAATTACATGTATATAATATATGACTTAGATCTACGTATTATTTTGTACGATATTATTTTGTCCCCATATTATTTTGTACATACTATACGAAATTGTTGAGACTGTATGAAACCAGTGGATCTAACCCCACTTTACGTTCAAGAATTTTTGTGGAAAGCTAGGTCATCATGCACCTCAGTGCAGACGTAGAATGAGAAACGACAATCCTCATAAGACAAATTTAGCCGAGGGAGAAAATACAATTATTGCGGTTGTTTCTCAAATAAACATTGTGACAAATGTGAGCAAATGAGTGGTAAACTCTGGTGCTACTAGGCACATCTGTGCAAACAAAGGTGCTTTTACCTCCTACACTAGTATGGGGATGGAGAAGAACATATTTATCTCGGTGATTCTAGGACAACTCCTGTCTTAGGAAAATGAAAAGTTCTTCTAAAACTCACATCTAGAAAGACTCTGACCTTGAATGATGTGCTACATGTGCCATTAATCAGAGCTAATCTAATATCTCTGTTAGGAAAAGTTGGGGTTAAAGTGTCATTTGAATCTGATAAGATTGTTATGACAAAACAAATAATGTGTTTGTAGGGAAGGGATATTGTGATCAAGGTTTTTTTTTGTACTTAAACATCTCTGAGGTTGTTAATAAATTTTGTTGTTCTGCTTATATTATTGATTCATATGATCTGTGATATTTATAGATGATTACTCTACATACACAAAAATATACTTAATCAAACAAGTGCACTAAATAACCTTTGAGAGAATATATACTTAAAATGTTTTTTTTAACTGGTAAAACTCCCTATGAGATATGGAAAGGTTATGAACCTAATCTTAAATATCGAGTGTGGGGGTGCCTAGCTAAGGTAATGTTACCTAATCATAATAAAAGGAAAATAGGTTCTAAAACTTCTGATTGTATGTTCTTAGGCTATGCAGAACATAGTGCTGCCTATAGGTTTCTTGTCCTCAAAAGTGATGTAATTGAGCATAATACTATAGTGAAGACAAAAAGTGTTGAGTTCTTTGAACATATCTTTCCTCTAAAGGTTAGTGAGATACCTAAACAATCTATAGAGATTAATAATGATAAAATATATGAGGATTTGAAGATAAGTAAAAGACAGAGGAAGGAAACCTCCTTTGGAGATGATTTCTACACTTATGATCCAATGAGTTTTTTAGAGGCTACTAGGGCTCCTGATGCAATATATTGGGATAAGGCCATTAAGACTGAAATTGATTCAATTAAGAAAAATAATACTTGGACTTTGGTAGATTTGCCTAAAGGAACAAAACATATTGGTTGTAAGTGGATCTTTAAGAAAAAATATCATTCTGATGGATCCATAGATAAATATAAGGCAAGATTAGTAGCAAAAGGTTTTACTTAAAAATCCAACATTGATTATTTTGACACCTTTGCCCCTGTGACTAGGATTTCCTCTATTCAAGTTTTGTTAGCTCTAACAGCTATCCATAAACTAGTTATACACCAAATGAATGTTAAGACAACTTTTTTGAATGGTGAATTAGAGGATGAAATTTATATGACTCAACCTAAAGGGTGTGTTGTTCCAGGTCAAGAGAACAAAATGTGCAGACTTTTAAAATCCTTATATGGATTAAAACAAGCACCAAAACAATGTCATGAAAAACTTGATAGTGTTCTACTTTGTAATGGCTTTTCAACTAATGATGTTCATAAATGTGTGTACTCTAAATTTGAGAGTGGTGAATGTGTCATTATATGTTTATATGTAGATGATATTTATATGTAGATGATATGCTAATATTTGGTACATGCATTGACATTGTCTCCAGAACTAAGTTATTTCTGGGATCTAAATTTGAAATGAAAGATATGGGTGAAGCCAATGTGATTTTGGGAGTTAAAATCATAAGGAAGGGCGACAGTATTTTTCTATCCCAAGAACAATATATTGAGAAACTTCTTAGGAAGTTTGGGTGTTATAACGCCAAACCAGTGAATATTCCTTATGATGTTAATTCTAAGTTAAAGAAAAATAGAGGAGACTCAATCTCTCAACCTCAGTATGCCCAGGTAATTGGGAGCTTACTGCATTTAATGAGTTTTTCTAGACCTGACATTGCTTATGCAGTAGGTAGACTGAGTAAGTACACTCAATGTCCTAATCAAGAACATTGGAATACACTTACAAGACTTATGAGATACTTAAGAGGTTCAATGGATTATGCCATTGAATATAATGGATTTCCTGCTTACTAGAAGGATACAGTGATGCTAACTGAATTTCTGATTCAGATGAGACAAAATCCACTAATGACTATGTATTCACACTCGGGGGTGGTGCGGTTACATGGAAATCAACCAGGCAAACAATTATTGCAAGATCAACAATGGAATCTGAATTTGTTGCTCTCGAAATGGCTGGTAGTGAAGCTGAGTGATTGAAAAACTTCTTAGTAAACATTTCATTAGGAATGAAACCGATACCGTCTGTATCAATACACTGTGATTGTCAATCGGCAATAGCTATAACAAAAAATAAGAACTATAATGGAAAAAACAGACATATACAGTTGAGACATAATTTAGTGAAACAACTGCTAAAGAATGGAACAATTTCCATTGACTATGTGAAGTCAGCGTGGAATCTAGCAGATCCTCTAACAAAACTCTTAGCGAGAAATATGATTTTAGAAACATCAAGGGGAATGAGACTTAAGCAACTTGCAAACAAACATGTGATGGTAACCCAACCCTTGTGATTGGAGATCCCATGAATAAGGTTCATATGGGTAAAAACAAGTCACTTGTTAGTTCTACTAGCACTAAGATTGATTAAAATCAATTATGTCCATTCCTATGGTGTATATGTGAAAGTGCTAGATACTGCATCATTGAGAGGTTAAACTTTGTAATTAAAATTCTATGTGGTGTACAAATTTTAGTCTAAACAAAGTTTTTAAACGATTTCATATCCCTTAAGGGTGGTGTATGATTTGCAGCATACGCTTGATGAAGTCACCTATATGAGTGTTGAGTGGGGCCGCTTGTATGAGATCTTTGCAAGATTTCTAGAGCACTCATGAATACCTGGCACGTGCATGGCCTAGTAAGCGCAACACAGCGATAACAGCAAGAATTGTGGGGATGTATTGTGATTATTAAAACCGCTAACACACATTAAGTGTTTTGGTTCATATAGCTTGCTACACCAACTGCACTGTGTGTTAATTTTTTTTAGTATAAGACTGGTTCATATAGCTTGCTATACCAGCTCTGATGCATTACATCTTATATGAGACCCAAAATTTTCTTCTTTTATTTCGTTTATCCCCTTTTGTTTTGCAATATGTGGGGGATTGTTGTAAATTAAGGGGTATTACAAAACAGAGAACGTGTTTTCACACGTTGCAGAAAACCGTTTCAGAGCACGTGTTCTCACACGTTGCAGAAGACTGTGTGTTCTCACACATGTTGCAGAAGACTGTTTCAGATAACGTGTTCTCACACACATTGCAGAAGACTGTTTCAGAGAACGTTGCAGAGAACGTTACATACCACTAACAAGTCTTCCATAACTGTTACAGACTTTCTCTTATAAATAGAGATCACTTCACACTTTTCAGAAGACATCTCTCTCATCTTCTCTTCTCTGATCTTCTTTTTGTGATCCTGGGTTAATTAACTCTCTTAGTTTCTTGCTAGTTTATGAGATCCTCGGATATTCGAGAAGTTCCTGTTGTATTCTAGGGGACTTGCGCAATACAACATGCGGATAAGTCCTTAAGGGCAGTGATTATACACGCCTCAAGAATAAAGTTTGCTCGTGTCTCGTCGAGCTTTTACAACAAATACACCATTTATATTTTTTTTTCATATTTATCAAAACAATAAAACCTAAAATATATAATCATAATAAAAAATAACACATGGTAGGCATTAAATTGAAAATATTTATACTCTAAAAACAAATTCAAATCAATATATAATCATTTACTTAAGTGAGTGTTAATTTTTCTATCAAACTTTTCTCAATTATGTTAGACCATATTGTTTTTCATTAATTTAATTTTTACTCTTAATTATTGATTTAAACACCTAGTTTTGTTGACTTTATTCTCACTTTATCTATTATTTATTTTATTATCTTTAATTTGTTCTCTTTCTTATCTTTTTATATTTTTCAAGGAAAATAGAAGAAAAAATTGAAAGAAACACTTTTTAAGTTTTCTTTGATTTTTTTTATTTATCTTTATAGTTTATCTAATAAAAGATAATGATTTATTATTAAATACTAGGACCTAGAATTAGGTATGATTAAAAGGCACATGGTTGATTTCTCATGTTGTTTTTCGCTCCTGTAAAAGGAAAAAGGAAACTTCAAAACTCCAATTACACACGTTAGGTTTTGTCGTTTTGAGATAAACGAAGGAATCCCCTTATTTGTTTTGCTCCGTTTCAGAGGCAGCTTTGGGTTTATTGGTTGAGAGAAGAAACCCCCCAAAACGCGAAAGGTCGCAGAGAGACGGAAACGATGTCGTACGACGAAGTGGAGATCGAGGACATGGAGTGGAACGAGGAGTTGCAGGCGTACACGTACCCGTGCCCATGCGGGGACCTCTTCCAGATCACGAAGGAAGACCTTAAGCTCGGCGAAGAGATTGCTCGGTGCCCTAGCTGCTCCCTCTACATCACCGTCGTCTACAACATGGAAGATTTCCTCGCCGATTCCGACCAAAATCGACGGAACAATGGTCTCCAACCTTCCAAACAGCAACCCGTAACCGTTGCTTGAATTTCAGGTCATTCATTGTTTCTCATCCACATCAATCGTGTGTAGTTTAAGGAGAAAAACGGAAATATGTTGTTTCTATTACAGTTGTGTCTTCCTTCCCCGTGAATTTAATTTTATACCTAGTTTGTTGGACTTCATAGAACACATGCATAAGTGCACCTTTTTTGAAAAAAAAAAAAAATCAGATTATGTGTAATAGTGTAGACTGTAAAGAATTACAAAGTTTTAGGAATTCTCTAGAAACACTTACCGGAGAATAAAATAAACTAATATGAAGTAAACGTCTATAGGTTAAAACTAGTGCATACATTAAAAATCTGATTTTTGAAAATATAAGGGAGCTTTTGCAAATTAGCCTGTGAAGGAGTTTTTTTCTTCCTTTATGGAGAAGTTCATGAAAACAGACCTCAATTATGCAGTCAATTTGGGATAATGACCGATTATATTTGGTTTAACGTGTATGGATGTTGAACCTGTGAACTTTAAAGATAAGCGGATTAGTTGGTGCAAGTCATTGAGGCGAGTATATTGATAGACTTCAGGTCTGAGTCTGTCAAGAGCCTCTTATCAAGTCATTGAGGCAATTGTATTGACACTAGTATCAAGTCATGGCTTGTTAGTGGTAAAGAAACCTTTGTTGTGAATTATTTATCCCAAATTGCACTATCTCCGATTTTAAAATTTCTTTCATAAACCTAGTGGTGGTGTTTCCTTTCCAAGAGTCAAGGCCCTTCCACCCGCCAAAAAATAAACTCCGAGCATCTCTTCATAGAATATATAACTAGACAGGTTTTAACACATGTTTTAGATGTATAACTCAGTTGTTTGAGAGTGTGTGTTAGTTGTTGGAAGCTCTTAATTCTTGTGTTCAATTCTTACGATATGAAGACTATAAAGAAAACACATGTTTTAGGAGTCTCAGAGTTAATCCTATTGACTCTGATTTTTTATATTAACTTTACCTCATCGTTTCATATTTTTCAATTTCTAGTCAGCAACTCCCGCCCACACTATTGCTTTGCAAATGAGATATCTTGGTTTTTTGTTGACTATGATTTGTGTTGATTACTGGACATATATTTTGGTTTTTATAGCTTTGTTTGTGGATAAGTGGCCAATTGCGTATGCTGTGTCCCTTTGGGTCATGCACTCGTGGTTTCATATTGCGGGTTCTGTTCTCATTGTATATAGATTTCAAGGAATTGAAAGTTGAATGAGACTATGTAGTTGTTGTAATGAAATTACTTATTCTGGTTATTATTCTTTGAGAGCTGATTACTCATTATTTTGCATGTGATTCGATACTGAATTGTAAATAATAATGTGCTCCTTAAATGACTGAATTCTCTGTCTTGCAGATTTTCTTGTCATTGAGAGGGTCGTAGGTTTTGTCATGGCATGCCATATATTTTGCAGATAGGAGTTTTTGGTATTTTTGATGGAAAAGGAAGACAAGAATAAGATGAGAGTTTTATATTACAGCAGGAATGCTATTGCACTTCTGAAGGGAAGAGGGAGCCAAATATCTTGTCATTCAATTCGATTGAATCATATTGTTGTAATAGTTAGACTTCATAATAGCACCCGTTTCCTGAACAAGTGACTACCGCCGTTCCTTATTTTCTTCAAGCTTTGAAATATGTCGTGCACTTTTTGTGGGGTATAACATTTGGTTGGGACGGAGATGGCAAGACTATGGTAGTGATTCAGTGAAAATGATCATTGATTTCGTAATTCGAGCACTTCAAAAAATAAAAATGATCATTTGCAGATAATTTGTTTAGTTCTAATTTCTTTTATAACGCATTAATCATAGATATTTAATAAATTGATAAAATGTGTAAACAATTTAACAAATAGTATGATAAAATAAAGAATAATGTCTAATTAATAGTTAATGGTAAAATGTAAATAATAATATTAATAATAATAATAATAAAAAAGAAATCACTTGCATCCATTTTAATTGGTAGGCGCTGCTGTCGGCTGTGCGTCCCACAATAGGATGGTAAAATAGATTGGTCCCACAATAGGATGGTAAAATAGATTGGTCCGAAAATAGATTGGTCCGGTGGGCAGGATCGTGAATCTGCCATAGTGTCCATTTGTTTTTTTTTTTTTCAATATGTGGGATCAGTTTGTCAGATAGGCGGTCCGTTCACTTAAGTAATAAAAAATATTTTTTTAATTAAAAAAATAATATTTAATTATAAAAATAATATTTAATTATAAAAATTATTTTTAATTATAAAAATTATTTTTAATTATAAAAATAATATATAAAATTATAAATTATAAACATAAAATTAAAAAAAATCTCCTTTTTATTTAAACATAACTTTTTTTTATTATCTTCTCTTTGTTTTGTTATTTTTATGATTTAAATTAAAAACGTAAAAATTACTTAAACAAAGATAAATGTAAAATATTATTAAATAAAAAATATAAATATTTAAAATTTTTAATATAAAAAATATAAATTTTAATATTATTTATTATTATATCAATATTATTATTATTTTTTATATTATAATTTTTAAAAATAATATATTCATTTATATTGTTAACTTAAAATAATATATATATATATATATTAAATTATTAATAAATAAATAAAAATTTTATTATTAAATTTATATAAAATATTGATTTAAAAAGAATATTTTTTTTTAAATTATTACACACTAACATGCCAACTCGTCTTTAAAAAGAGACAGGCCAAGGTTTAGAATCCCTCGTCACTATATTAAATTAATCGGTAGCGTCACACTTTTAACTGCCAAAGACAGGATGGAAAATACAGAGACGGATCGATTAACCAGTCCCACACAGCGTATTATGTAAATTTGGAACTGGCAAAGATTTAAACTTGTCACTGCAGAGCACAGAACTTCCTTCCTCCGCAGTTGCACTGAGTTCAACTGAGGTCTCTCAATTTTGAGTATTTTTCACATTCATTATGAAACTCCTTAAAATCTTCAATTCCAAAGCTTTCAATATCCGAACTTTCAATTCCTTCTCCCATCCCAATTCTTCTGTCTCTCCACCTCAGACATCTTCTTTCTCCCCACTTCTCACCACTGTCCCACAAATCACGGAATCCACACTCCTCCATTCCATCGAATCTTCTCATTGGCATTTCATCAAACAGGTTGGGCCACACCTCACTCCCTCTCTTCTCTCTTCTACTCTAACCTCCCTCCGCTACAACCCCGAACTTGTCCTTCATCTTCTCTCTCATCTCGACAGCCACCCTCTTTCCCTCGACCTCACCACCACTTCCCTCGCCGCCTGCATCCTCTGTCGCCTCCCATCTCCCAAACCCTCTATCAGCATCTTACAACGCCTCATTCAATCTTCCACTGCCACCAACCGAACGATTTTCGATGAGTTGGCGCTTTCCCGCGACCGCGTCGATGCCAAGACTAGTCTCATTTTTGACCTTCTGGTCAGGGCCTATTGTGAACTCAAGAAGCCCAACGAGGCCTTGGAGTGTTTCTACTCGATGAAGGAAAAGGGTGTTTTGCCCAACATTGAGACTTGCAATCAGATGTTGAATCTGTTCTTGAAACTGAACAGGACTCAGATGGCTTGGGTTCTGTATGCTGAAATGTTCAGGATGAAGATCACATCCAGTGTGTACACTTTTAACATCATGGTTAATGTGTTGTGCAAAGAAGGGAAGTTGAAGAAGGCAAATGAGTTTATTGGGCACATGGAGGCTCTTGGGGTGAAGCCCAATGTTGTCACCTATAATACTGTTATACATGCACACTGTGTGAGAGGGAAATTCCAAAGGGCTCGTGTGATCTTTCAAACAATGAGAGATAAAGGTCTTGAGCCTGATTGTTATACCTATAATTCTTTCATTTCTGGGTTGTGCAAAGAACGAAGACTCGAGGAGGCATCTGATTTACTTTGTAAAATGTTAGAAATTGGCTTGGCTCCAAATGCAGTAACGTATAATGCGTTGATTGATGGGTATTGCAACAAAGGGGATCTGGATAAGGCTTTTGCCTACAGGGATGAGATGATAGGTAAAGGTTTAACCGCATCTCTGGTCACATACAATTTGTTTATACATGCACTGGTTTTGGAAGGAAGGATGGGGGAGGCTGATAATATGATAAAAGAAATGCGAGAAAAAGGGATGAAGCCTGATGCTGTTACTTATAACATATTGATTAATGGGTATTGCAGGTGTGGGGATGCAAAGAGAGCCTTCAGCCTTTTTAATGAAATGGTGGGAAAAGGTATTCACCCAACACTGGTCACATATACATCACTTATATATGTTTTGGGTAAAAGGAATAGAATGACAGAAGCAGATGCCTTATTTAATAAGATTCAACAAGAAGGTCTGTTGCTAGATAATATAATCTTTAACACAATGATCGATGGTCACTGTGCAAATGGTAATATTGATCGTGCATTTCAACTCTTAAAACAGATGGATAACATGAAGGTTCTTATCGATGAAGTCACTTATAACACCTTGATGCAAGGATACTGCAGAGAGGGGAAAGTGGAGGAAGCTAGGCAACTTCTTGATGAGATGAAGAAAAGGGGGATCAAACCTGATCACATTAGTTACAACACACTCATTAGTGGTTACAGTAAAAGAGGTGACATGAAGGATGCTTTTAGAGTTCGTGATGAAATGATGACTACAGGATTTGATCCTACAAGTCTCACTTACAATGCTCTTATTCAAGGTTTGTGCAAAAACCGGGAAAGTGAGCATGCTGAAGAGCTCCTCAAAGAAATGCTACATAAAGGCATTGCTCCTGATGACAATACCTACCTTTTTCTAATTGAGGCGATGGAGGAAGTTGATGACCTGGAGGGAAATGATGATAAATGAATTGAAGAAGAAATTAGTTTATTCAGGGTTTTGTGTGAAACTTGTAGCAATGGAATTTGGACACAAGCATCTCAACATCCTTGTTCTACAAGCTGCATCACTGAGCGAACATGTGCGTGTGTATGAAGAAAAAAGTTAATGGAGTTCTTGAAAAGCTGTAATTTTCCTTAGTTGGTTTCTTTTGTACTAAAGTTATAATTTTTTACTTCACTAGTTATATTAGTTTTGTATCATATGGTTCACAAAATATTTATTGATGATTTTGTTTGAAAAAGGAAAATAATGGCTAATGATTGAATTTGTCTGTCTTTGGTACATAGAATAATGCAGAAAGATTGTTCTGGCAGGCAAAATTGGGTAATTTTTATTTTACTTTTCTAAAATGGTAAACCAATAAGTGCTTTAAATAATTTCAAGTCTTCTATTTTTGTTTTCTGCTCATGATCTCATTCTTTGCTCTGTATTGTAGTTAATTTATTATATCCATCTGATGCGGATGTGGATTTTACAGTGTTGTATATACAACATCAATCCTAGTTTTATATATATATATATATATATATATATATATATTCTTCTGCTGAGGTGAAGGAGTTTTTCTGCTACAACGAATAAATATTAACCTTCAAAGTATCGTCTTTCAGCCTGTTTGTCCTTGTGTGCTTGCCTGACACAAGATGGCATATTAGTTCATAGTTTATATGGAGAAAATTGGCTTATCATTTAGTCTTTTTTATTGAATAAGTAGGTTTTAATATTTGATTAAAGCATGTGTTTCTATCTGCATTCTTGGTCCAAATCATATATTAAAGATTTGTTTGGACATGTTTCTCCCTAAACACTTCTAAGGGAGAAAAGTAAGAAGAAATATTGAAATTAGCTTTTTGATAAATTAAAATTAGCTTATACATTAACTAATTTGTCAAAAGCTTTCTCATATAACTTCTCCAAATTTTCACTTTTAATTTGTGCATAAACTAATTTTAGTTTAACTTTTTGTCTTATTTTTCTCTCATAAAAGTGTTAATGGAGAAACTCTTCCAACTAGATCCTAAAGCTAAAACAGAAGCACATATCTTTTGTCATATGAAGTACTCAGTCATACTCTTCCATTTTTCATTTAGCCAATCTAGCATTTTGTGAGTTGTCTTCTAATAGATCAACCCCTTAGTTTCCATTGGTTTTGAGATTGATGTCTAGCTTTGTCTTAATTCCCTAGTCCATAACTTCCATTGGGTTTGGATTGAGTATTGACCGCTTTAGGCACATTTTGTTATGAAAACTTCTGTAAAGAAGGTTTACCGGAGGGAGAATAGGGGGAGAACAGAATATAAGAATCCCAAAGAGTGGGTAATATTTACCACCCAACAGATAATTTAATTGTGACTGTCAGAATAGAATAAGTAGGGACTGTTTGATTGTTCAAACTGAAGTAAATATTTCTTTTAATAAGCAACTTATAAGGATATATGTATTTTTATATCATCATGCAAATAATTTCTTTGTTTGTATACCTCCTCTACCTTATGATTGGATGCAAATACTGTTGGGTTTTACAGTCTTGGTAAGATTGGTGGAAGAGACGAGAAACTAATGAAATAAGCAAAATGTGATTTCAAGGGAATTTTGAAGATGCAACCCACCCATAAGATGGCCTACTGCATGCAAGTTCAAGCATTGCTCCTTATTACTTTCAAATGCATTACCATCTCAATTGTTTCTTTTAAGTTTTCCTTAGATAGGTTGACTTGATATGATAGATGAAAAATTAATATATTATTAATTGTATAGCAACAATCTAAGCCAGTTTAACATAGTGTTGGTATTTACTAGGACCTTTTGTGTGATAATAGCCTCATTTCTTTTAATTTTATTTTATAAATTTGACCCTTCAAGCATATGAAGCCCTTACTTCTATTTGTAGCATAATGGGTATTCATTTATTTGGACTAGGCATAGATGGAAAATGCAAACAAAAGCCAATGGTGAAGTATTGAGGCCGAAAGATTTGTAACTAGACCATGCTTTTTGAGAAGTTAAAATATTTATAAATGCATTAAGTTGTGAATGCATACAATTTCTTTGTAGAAAAAGTTAAACAACAAAGAGAGAACAGAGAGAGCGAGAGAGAGGAAGCCAATAAAGAAAAGTTTGGAAAAGTGGTCGATGTGAAGAGAGATTTACCAAGAAATGTAATATTGTAAAGCATGTTATAAAAAATTGTTTTATGAAATCCCTCAAGTTTAAGGCAGTGCATCATTGGTTGGTTTTAGGAAATAAAAATTGTTTCTATAGACAATTTTAGTTTGGCATTTATAAACTTTTCTTTTTGTTAACTTAATATAATAAAACAAAATCCAAACCCAAAATTATGTTGACAACAATCATTTTCACATTATATATTTTCAGTGTTATTTTCACATTAATGGACTTGGTATTTATTGAGTTTAATTTTGTGAAAGAGTTTTACAAATTTCATTTATTAAATGATGTGCTATAATCTATCTAAATGATTAACATGCCATATGCTGTAAAATTCAGTATTTCTGTTATCTTTAAACTTATAAGTTCAATTTCAGTGTTAGTTTTTTACCTTTTTAGTCTTTTTATTATTTTTTTAACATCATTATTGTTACAAATTATGCATCATCACTGAACAACAAAAAATTCAATTTTATGTTGGTACTCATTTAAGTTTATATCTTTGATAATACTTTTTAAGTATTTCCTTAGAAATTCTCTGAAAAGTTATCAATATTATAGAAAACAGTTCGAATATGTTTTCAGTTCACATGAAAGGGACGATGTTGCCTTGTTCACTAAAAGATGTTATCAAAATTTCTATACTATTCTCTTTTCAACTTGTTACTAGATGAAGATGTAGAAGAAGACTTCCAATAACGATACCATTGATCATGTCTGTCGTGGACGCTGAGCTTTTCTGCATTCTTTATTTGATGATGCACATAAGTTTCTCGTAATAGGTTGCTCTGGTAAGTAACTTCTAACGCTAAACTTTCCAAGGATTATCATATAGATGAAAGTGGAAGTACATGTCTGCTAGTGGAGATCCTCCATTGGCCAAGGGAGTTTTCTCTGTCTCCTTGTGAAATCGTGTTCTAACCTCTAACTTGTTATTTCATAAATGTAACTTTTGCTGAGTCAAAAACCAAAACTTGAAAACTACAATTAGAATGGAAAGAAGGATAGGTGATCAATAATAACCACTGCTTTGCCAATATTTATATATGTCTCAAATGCGTTCTATCTTTTCATTTTCTTTTTTCCTTTCACCAAGTAATTATAATACCATTCATGCTTTAATATCATTTGTATTGAGGGTTGTTATAGGATTTTTAATTAAGTTTTAAGTAACCCATAATTCACTAATTCTTATTAATCGATGAATTATTTTAGTATTTATTTTGAAATTTGAATTATTTTTTTCATCACAATTCAACACCTCATGCATTTCCTCATTTGAATTTGTCACGTAACATGTTTGGAAACACATTAAGAAGGAATGAATCACGAATAAGATGTAGAATCGCATCTGAAATGTGAAATAAAACACAACATATATAAAATATTATTTTATATCTATCTCTAAAGTGAGAACTTAACTTTTCAGGAATGGTACCATTTACCTGGAATATTAGACAAATCAGTTATGGTTACGTATACGGTACATGAACATGGAGGTAAAATATACCCAGAATCTTATCTCCTTCGCTGTCATATACTCTTTTGTTTATTTTTACATGAATTTGACGTAATGGAGAACCAACTCTTCTGATGAGTGGGAACATATTGCATGCCACATGAATTTATTGGAGAGATTTCAGTCTCCACTCTCTGAAGGGACACATTTGCATGTATGACTCAATGCAAAAGGCAAAACCACTATCTCTGGGGCTAGTTTTCAGTTTCACTACGAAAGGAAATTTTGTATTTGATGATTGCTTGGCGTTTTTGGTAGTGGAGTTATCACTTTTCCTCCAAACTCTAACGCGGATTTCCAATTATTAGAGTGCAAACAGTTATGAAGAAAACAACACGTTACACCTCCCTCAACTTTTACTTGGGTAGGGGGTTACTTTAATCTCTAATCAAGTGCTGTCCCCATTTCATCTTCTTTCGTGATGTTGTCATTGCAGGTTTTCTTTTCCGTTTGTGGAAACACATGCAACATGCACTTAGTTAAATGCTTGAACCAATCATGTATGACATAAAGCACTTTATTTAGTGTATGCACCATATTAGCTATGGCTTCATATAAATTAAATGAAGGAATTGAGCTCAAAAGTGGTTGTCTTCTGAAGAGAAAAGAAAATTATCATTCATGGGTTTATTTGTAACACACACAGTGCAAGGATCAGCACTAGCCCTTCTTGGATTATGGCATGCCATCAACACCATCAGATCTTACCTTGTGAAGGGCCCTGCCAACTTCTGTGTAAGATTCTGGTACCAGTTTAATACCCCTCACGCCAGACTCAAACACTTGGAGCTTGTCTCCATTTTATTATTTTCCTTCCTTGCAATATTCGGTCAAATTCTAGACTTCCCTCATTTCCACTATGCTTTTAAGCTTGATAACTTTGAGCATGCAACTATGTTCATACACCTTGCTTTGTTTGCCGGTTTCTCCCTCTCCACTGAGTTGACTGATTCACTTGACCTCTTTTCTGGCTTTGTTGGGATACTTGCATCCTCAGTGTTCAGTCAAGAACTCTTCCTTCTCCATTTTCACTCCACAGACCATGTCGGACTTGAAGGCCATTACCACTGGCTGCTGCAGCTCATAGTGCTTGTCTCACTAGTAGCAGCTCTGGCTGCAACTATTTTTCCTAACAATTTCAATGCGGCTCTTGTTCTTTCTATTTCAATCATCTTCCAAGGATGTTGGTTTATAAACATGGGCTTTATGCTATGGATTCCAGCTTTTGTCCCTGAAGGGTGTGTAATGAATTTTCCCAAGGCAAGTGGCCATGATATCATTGGAGCAGTTACTTGTGGCTCCAAAGAGGCTGATTTTAGGGCCAGGGGCTTGGCCAATTTACAATTCAGTTGGATCCTTGCAGCAATTCTGATATGTGTAGGAATCATTTGCTTGAAACTTGTCAGAAAATGTACAATTACAACAAATCGGTTGAAATATGAGAGAGTTCAAAGTAAAGGTGCAGACTCAGCTTTGGCCAATGAAGTTTGAAGCAGGGCGGATAATCTGCCACAGTTTGTTACAGGCCTGGTGCTTGCATTTTTAAGGTCTCAAATGTCTAGACGAGACCTGAGTTATGCAATGAAATAAGCTACAGTGTATTTTATTATAGACCAAGTTTAGATTGATGTCCAACAATCTATTGGGTTTTATAATCTGTATGGAAATCTTCAGCAAGCTATATAATGTTGGTAGTGTCTATTAAGTTGCTGATCTTTCTGTTGTACACTCTTTCACTTAATGTAAGAGGCATAATATCTCCAGATCTTGATCACTTAAGTTTCCTTAAATTTCAAACACCAGACTGTTGGTATTGGACTTCTGAATTATGAGAATGTTCTGTGTATTAGCTGACTGTTTAGTATTCTGGGTGGAGTTGATAAACTTAAAAAACCTGGAGGTTATTGTTTTGATCTCCTGTTACAAAGTTTCTGATTTCATTGTCTCTTCAATTCTTTATGATATATAGTATTTATAAATGCAGTAACTCCTTTTTCCAAAATTGAGAAAATGAAAGCATACCAATGAAATTGTTCAACTGATTTCTTATATTTACAGCAAACTCTAAGTAGGGGGCAGTCTTCTACTTGTCCAAATATATTTTGTCATCTCCATATATACCTAGTTTTTATGCCAGAAACAACAAAATTTTGTGTACAATTATTTGTTTTCAAATGATTGTTCATATGTATACCAAAAAATAACAACGAAAATTCCTGTAATAATAATTAAGTTCTGCATGGTATAGAAGACTTGAAGAGAGATGCAATTTATTTTTCTATTAAGACAATAAATACATGAATCAAATGAAGTTTATACGCTTCTCACTGAGACTCTTCCAAAGATGCTTCAATTCAAAGAAGAACAAATTCTGTAGCAATCCCAACAAGAACAAGCCAATCATGATGGCTGCAATCAGGAAAATCTCAGTTGCAGCATTACGTGTAGCCACATCAAATTACCAACAAAATCTCTAGTACCTTTGAACAAAATTGGTTCCAACATCAAATTGGTTCACCACTCTCAAATTTGCAGAAAAATTATGTTCAATTTTTTGTCCAACTAGTAGCAAAGAAACAGAGTGGAATATAAGTCCCGAACAAGATTCTAAATTCCAATTCCACGAGTAGTTGTCCATAGAAGAACAAGACAATAGTGTAGGCTAAACGATTGTGCAACCAAGTCTACACAAATATGGTTGTCATAACATGAGAAAATAGAAAAAGACCATTACAAAAGAAAATTATAAGCATTAACTCCTATAAATATTTAGAGCATATTATTAACAATAGGCAAGTAGTCCAAGGTCTAAATCACTGGCAAATGGTTGTGTTTATTCCCTCCTAGCACCAATAACGTGCACCAGAAGTGTTCTTACTACTTGGTCTTCCTCTGATATAACTTCGCAGATGCATATATCATTATTTTTTATCTTGTTCCTTCTACTGAAGTTTGCCCAACCCTTGATACATATTCTATCATCTTGCCACCTACACACTTTTCCTGTCACTTCCAAATATCTTTTGCGGATGGGTGCCTGTTGTGCCAAGTTGAGATGATACATTTGCAATTTGTTTCTTTGAATGTCCTGTTGTGAAAGTTCCCAGCTATAGTTTCAAATTCTCAAGATGCACATAAATATCCCCAACATATAGTAGTAAAAAAATGATAAGTAACTATTAGAATTATACCTTACGCTGGCAGTGTTGACAACATTTAAGGGTAATCTTTTCAGGAAAAGTAAGGGAAAAGTCTTGAATGGCAATTCCTGGAATATGCTGCAATAGTAAGGAATCAAATCAGGCCATAAGTGAAAAGTACAGTAGAGGGAAGAAGGAAAATTTAACTGTTGTGAGTTATGAAAAGTGAAATTGCTTAAACAGGGTCAGAAAATGGGAAATCAATCAATTAACATTTTTCAACATGAACAAATAATATGGGCTGAAAGATTAAAAGTTCTTACGAAACCAAATCAAAGGGAATTTAATTAGAAATGGGAAGTAGAAGGTGGGAGAACAAAGACTTAAAGCACATGGACTTACTCATGTAACAGTGCTTTAACTGCTAAAAAGCCAATACCTACAGACACGTTAAGACATAACTAGAACAAACCAGATAAGAATAAATTCCAAGTTCTAACCAATTCGTTGGGTCTACTTCTGTAGAGTTTTGCTTCAAAAAAATTATTCTCTGGCTGAATGCACATGTCTGGATCAAATTCATCTTCTTTAAGAGGGTCTTCAGTCCGGAGGTAGGAACTTGATCCGGTGTCCCCTAAACAAGATAAAGCACTACGTAAAAACTGATTCATAGCACTCATAGTATAGACATGGAAAACAAACAAAAACTAGTTTTGACCATGAAGTTGAAAACTTACTTCTGCAAGCTTTGCGATAACTTTGACTCGTGTATCCCACAGGACTCACACCGTTTTCTTCTTCACTATCTTCTTCCATCTCCGTGTTCTCATCATCATCATCATCATGAAAATCACTATCGTCATTGTCGTCATCATAGTCCTGATCTTGGCTGTCTTCCTCGTCCTCCATGTCACAGTCCTCAGTTGGTTCCTCCTGTGTTATTATCACTTTCTCCTCAATTTCTTGTGCTGGTGCTTGCTCTTCATCATTCTCCTCCTCCTCCATCTTTACCAGAGTTTTCTCACACTGTGTTGATATTTCAAGGATTGTGACCCTGAACTCACTAACCCCATCATATCTAAATACTAGAAAATCTGCATTTTCTAAGCAGTTTTCTTCATGAAAAATTTTCCACCCATCATCGAAATATAATTTGTCTCCAAAAAAACGTGTTTTAACATGCCACACTCTCCCACTACCATTCCTGAGGAGAATATCCTCAGGGATCCTTCCCAGTAACCCTGGCAACTTCACAAAAGCATTTGGAATAAGCTGCAATTCGAGATCAGAAAACAAAAAACAAAGGTGTAAGCCTCTCATGACACACTGACTGAAGATCAATGCTTGAGATATTGTAGTACTTCGAGAGAGTGTTTTGGAGTCAAATCTGCATTTATATGGTCCACTACTAAAGCAATATATAGTTAGTATAAATTGTTATAACTCACTATCCATTCAATTTATTACAAATTTAAGGACACCAATATTCTTGTTGCAGAAAGTATATGAAGAAATTACCATTCTTTCGTGGTGTTGATCTCGAAGGAAGACTTTGAAGAAGTCAGGGTATTTCTCTGCACCAGTCATCGAGCTATCCAAAATTTCTGGAAATTTAGCATTTTCATATTCAAAACAATGAAATTGTCTAAATAAATTAATAAGAAAATGAATGCTAAAAGACATTATCATATATATCCATTTATTTTTTATTTTCATTATTTAATGTTTTAGATCTTTATATTGAAAAATAATTAAATAAATTTTCTTATATATATAATCTCTAACTTCCACTCTGATGATTTTTTTTATAATATATTAGTTATACACATATTTTAATTTCTTGGTTAGATATGTATCTTTATAAGTTTATTTTTTTAGTTTTACTCGTATAAAAGAATATTAGTCTGATAAAAGAAATTAAAAGCATATTCTCACGGGTAAACATTAAAGCAAATTTTTAAATAAATAGCAAAAATAAAAATATAACAACAATTCTAACTAAACGACCCTATATATCAATATTTAACAAAATGAATTTAACTTTTTAGCATAAATATTATACCATACGTTGAAAATATCTATTGAGTTTTCTTTTACTCTTTTTTTTTAATATTTTCAATAATTTTTATTTTATTTTCCTCTATTTTCAAGACATTCTTATGTGTATTATATGTATTTTTACCAATTGATTTAATAATAATTAATAAGGATAAACATATAAATTATTAAAAAAAATCAATAAACTTAGATAAATTAATTATTTTCATTTGTATATGTGATTTTGTTGTCTTAATATAAAAGGAGTATTCACTTCTTTTTAATTTCTAATAGTACATTTGTTTCAAGACACACTTGCAATATACTAAGTGAACAAATTTAAAATCAAACTTGCATTAAAGAAACAAATAAAACATAAAAAAATTCTCTTATTTGTAAGCATTCTTTAATAATTATATGTTTGAAAGTTTAAACACTGCGCAAAGATCATAATTTATTCAATATTAAAAAATAACACCTTTTCATATTTCAGCTTCTAAGGTTGTGTTGCTGAGTTGAAGGAAGGTCTTTCCTTTTTATTTCATAAAAGCATTTGAGAAAGAAGTAACTTTTTTTTTTTTTTCAAAAATAATTTGCACATAAACATATACATGTCAGAAGAAAGCTGTTGTATCCTTAACTAAACAAAAAACATTAACAACGTTTTAGTTAACATTCAAGTGAGTGACTCATGTAAGCAGGTAGCAGTTAACAGAAATCAAAGTGAGCGCGAAAGGTAATATCTTGTAAAACAAAAATCAAACTAAGGTTATGACATTAAAAAAAAAAACACCAAAATGGAACAATCATGGCACAACCTGTCCACAGTAATTACTTTGCTCCCTGCACAACCTATTGGAACCCCCCAGAAAATAGGTATACACTCAAAGTGTAAATAACACTTCTTTTGCAACCACAAAACTGTGCTGAAAATAACTTTTTCCCCATCAATGACTACCCTTTTCACTCTTAGAGATAAAGTTGAAAATGTCCTCACTCAAGGCCTTTGTGATAAAAGTTTTCTTAAATGATGAAAAGAACCAAAAATAAATAAATAATTTAGCTTCATATTTGTTCTAAAAAGTTTCAAATAAATATCTGTTAAATAGTCTTTTCAAACAAAAGGGTGTTAGAAGCACCAGAAGGTTTAGTTGGAGACATGTTTTAAGTGAAGCTTTGTGATGTTTAAAATCAGACATGACAGCACAAACCATGAATGAGAAACATACATACAAATGTCAGAGAGAGATAATACCAGTTTTATGGCTCAGCCACCCTCAACCAACAACAGGAATCAAAGTTAATTTTTTTGATGAATAGGAGAAAGATGGAGCAGTTACAGGGTTTGAAGATGTTACACCTTGATTATGAAGGGATGTTAGAGCTGAAGAAACTCTTCACATGCCCTAGTGTGTTGAACTGTACAAATATATAGCAGAAGCACTTATCTCTTGGATCTGTTTGTTTTCTTTGAGTGGTGTGGTTTGAATATTGGAGGGAGGACTAGAAGGGTAGGGTAAGGTTGTGGCTTTTGGAGTGCAGGCTTCTGAATTTCAGGATAAGATTTTGAAAGGTTTTGGTATATGGAGATATTGGTTTCTGTGATCTGATTCTTCACATAACAACAATGGATGGTAAATTTATTTCTGTTTCCCTGAAGACTCCAAGAAACTTCTTTTTAAGTATCTGAGGAGCCTCTTGTGATGATTGTGATTCTTTTCTTTTTCTGGAAACTGATTGTGAAAACATGTCATAGGAAGACAGTGCATGCATGGTGCATGGTGCATGTCCAGTGCTACTGCACTAATTATTTCAGTTCAATGCTTATGATGGTAATTAATCTGCCATTTTTGTAGTGTGGTCCATCTAAATGTTAATGATGCTACCTACAAAGTGCTATTTCTGAACACTTTAACCAGAACAAGCATGCAACACTTGCTTTTATATTTCTGAATAATAATTGCAATTTAACCTTGGTAGTTATTAACTCTGGTTTTTATTTCACATATTATTAATGTAAAAATAATAATTATAGACCAAGTTATATGACCAATTTTTTTATTTATAAACACTGTCCATTTCTTTTATTTTTTATTTTTTAAAGTACTCACTAATATTATTTGAAATTGTGATTTTTTTTAAATATAAATTCCATAATTATGTAAAATTTTTCCTTCAGATCTAAATTTTTAAGAGTTTATTCGTATATTCCAAAATCAAAACTTTAAAAAATCTATTTATGATGTTCTAAAACTTATAACTTTAGAAGTCTATTTGTTTAAATAAGCATTAAATTTTAAATTGGACTTTTAAAAGTTTAATTTTGGGTGTTTCTAAAGGAATAAGAATTTAGAAATTTATATACCAACAATATAAGATGTTTAAAATAAAAGGAAAGAAAAAGAGGGTAGGGTAAATAAATGAACTTTTTTTTCAAGTTAAAGTTAATTTATAGACTAGTCAAAAAAAATAAAAATATAAAAGAAATAATGTAAAAGAATTTTTATAAATTAATTTATTTACAAGATATTTTAATTTTTAAAAAACTCTTATTAAACTTTATCTAAACAAAATCTTAGGACCAATTTTATATATTCCATATGAAATATATAGCAAGAGAGGGTCTACCATCTAATATAAAACAATGACCAAAATTTAAAAAAGATTTTTTTATATCCATCCTTATTTTTTTCTTTATTACCAAACACGCCCTTAATTCCTATCCAAAATGCAAAGGAACTTTGCAAGTGAACATGTTGTAATGCAGCCACTAACTGCCAAATTAGGTCAAATCGTGGGTCCCTTCAAAATGCAGATTCTATTTGGTGAATTTATGGGGTCCGACTTAAAACATCAAAGTCGTATTTTAATGATCAACACGAGATTATTTAATGATTTTCAATTAATAGATTTAAATTTTCTAACCTTATTTAATACTATTATTTTAAAAATTCTCATACCTTTAAACATAAACATGATTCTCCGAGTGTATGTTATTTTATCCATATCACAGAAAATATGAACATGAAAGACAAGTATTAGACACAGCTATGAACAAAAACAGTGAACCAAGCTTTACATACTTTAACTTCAAAGTGAAAAATAAAGTAAAATAAAACCCAAGATAGACCAAAGCAATAGGATAAACAGTGACTCGGTTTCTGATGTGCTAGATTGAACAATCTATTTACAACCCAAGTCAAAAGAGGAGGAAAAGGAAAAGAAGTATCAAAACTATAATAACTATGTTCCATCAAGTCACCCTGAAATGCTGTTGGACAGAAAATTGCATACATACATAAGCAAGGGTTATTTGACACAGTTGAGCTGCTAATTTCTAACCATTTTAGTTGAAGTAAGGTGGTGTTGCTGCTGCAAGGGAGTGTTCAGCAGTTTAACTGAGCTCATGGTTTGATTCTGCTGCAATGGAGGAGGACTCAGCAATCCCACATCATCCTCATTAATGCGAAACACAGTAACTTGCAGCACCACTTCTTTCATTCTAAGAAGCTCAAAAACACATACATCACCTTCCCCTAAATTGTTCTCTAGTGAAAATTCAAACCACCCTTGGCTTAACTTGGCTCTACCTCCCCTATAAAGGCACCGAACCGGCCACTGTCTCCCATTAGAGATCTGAAGTTTGATAAACCCTGAAACTCCATTCAAGTGTTTTTCTGCAAAGCATGATGGCAGATACTGGAAAAAACACAAAGAGGAGTTTGTAGGATACAAGATCAGCTGCTAAGAAGAATGAAAAGGTTTATGTACAGTGTCAAATTTCAAGGGCTCACCATTATGCATCCCCTATATAGGTATGAGGGCCGCAGAACAACCCTACAGAAAGGATTAGGTGGTTCAAATGCTTTGGCTGCAGTGATGGCCCTCTCTCTTTCTTCTGCTGTCACGGTTCTTTTTCTTGCAGAAGCACTTTCATAAAATCTAAAGCGCATTTCGACTTCCTCTTCGTGCTCAGCAGAGGGTTCCTGGCCATCTGCACTTCCACAAATTGTATTGATCTTAAAGTACAATTTGTAGATAACCAGATCATAGAAAGAAAAATTAGTTAAAGAGACTACTATAAGACCTGATTTCCGCTTCTTTCTTGCAATTTTTTTCATCCTTTCCTCCATGGAAGCACGTAATTTCAATTCTTCAGTTGATCTTTTAAACTCTACTGCATTAAATTGAACTCCTATGTCTCTGGTCAATCGATTATCTAGTGAATTGGCACTTTTTGAACAATGGGCATTACCACCCTCTCCCCAGTTTATGCTATTTAATTTAGATCCATTGAACAAATTCTGCAATGCTGGAGGTGTGTAACTCTTTCCAGAAGACATTTTATCTACTGATCCTGCATGAACTTTATTTTTCAATGAACTGGGAGCAAGGTGGGAGGGTGATGAATCCAGGATTTCAATGGAATCTCCATCATCCATTTCTTCAAAAAATTTAAGAAGATTTGCAAAGTGAGGCCCTTCGTTACTGCATCGCATGGCTGATTGATAGTTTATCTCAGAAGTTGCCAAATTAAAAATATGAACATTGAAAGATGACTTTCCTTCGTATCTGAAAGCCAACAAGTATCCAACGCCAATGGAATAGTGTTGAACAAACTCTTGCCAACCATCAAGGAACCAATACTTGTTATCTGCCTTTTTCAATCCTACACGCCAGACACTACCATCAGGAACAGAGAGGGTAACAATTGGAGAAAGTTGACCCCCATATGTCCTCATAAAATCATCTGGAAGCCTCTGCAATTCATATCCGAATATTGGTAATTTTTGTAATACAATGATGTTCTAAACTCTTAAGAACCAGACTTATCTAACGAAAGGTGATAGGAAGACTGTGCCCCTTCCATCACTATAAAATGACCACCACCACCATCACAGATGGTATTATAAGTTAGCATGGTTTGACACGAGTGTAAAACTCGACTTCAGATCCTAAACTAGATTAATTCTCATAAGAAGTTCAACTTTTAAATAAGCCAACTTCAGAATAAACGAAACTATCAAACTCCACTACAATGTTAGAGCTAGTGTGATTGATAAAGCTCAAGTATCAAACACAGTTGGACTCAATAAAGATTCCACATATACTTTTTTAGTGTGGGTTGGGTTCACTTCAAGTTCAAGTGCTTGCATTATCTGTTCTAGTGTAAGTTGAGAGATAATTAGAAATCTCTACCTCAGTAAAACAGCAAAAAAGTATTTGAAATCAATTTGAGAGTAACGGGGAAAAACACTGTTCAAATGCTGAAGAACTCCATTATCAACTCACTGATCAACCATCAGAGTCTAATTTCAATCAAACAAAAAGTCTGGCAATTTTATGGAGAGTTTTTCACTTAGAAAAGTGGACATAACTGAAAGGCTTACATGTGTGAGCTGAGCACTGTTAAAAAAGGACATAAAATTAACCAATGGAACTTAATTGACTTCATATCCTACACTAATTTCGAGTGAGTCAATAATACAAAGAACTGTGTCTTCTAAAATATCAAGACCTTGTCCCCAAAAGAAATTTTCTGATTTTTCTTCACTATCACTCAACCAGCTTGCTGCAGTTAAAAATTGAAACCAAGTCACTCATGAAATAAACATAACCAAACCCAGAAATTTAGGTTCAGAACTCATAATTCCACTTCAAATAATCCTTTATTCTAATTCAAAATCCTAATAAGACAAACCAAACATTTTTCCTTCCAACCCTAGCAGAACAAACAAATAGAGAGAAGAATTGGGACTCCCACTCCATATGAATTAAAAAAATAAAAGAAAAAATTAAAGAAGTGACAAAGTTTGGGAGTAGGGAGAGTGGTGGGTGTGAAGAAAAGGCATCATTATTTACCACCTTTTCTCACTCTCTCAAATTCCTCAAACACCATAAAAATAACAATACCAACTCCAAAAAGTAAAACAAAAAATCCACAAAAAAAAGTGGAAGAATGAGGGAAAATTAAGGTACCAGTTGGTTGGGTTGGAGAGTGGAGGGTAGAAGAAGCTTGTGGAAAGAAGGGTGCGTCATTTTCTGAGTATATCAAAAGCCAGAAAAACCAAAGCATTGGATGACCCTATGATTCAAAGGTGAAACTTTGGGCTCTACCTACTGAAATTCTTCACCTTTCAGATCTACTTGGCCATCACTCCCTATTCTCCAGTCCCCACTCTCCTCTGCTTTTTGAGTCAAACAATGGTTTTTTTAAAACCTTAAGAATTCAATTCAATACAAAAAAAAAATTCCAACTTGACATATATGAAAATCTTAATAAAAAGCTAACTAGTGACGACTGGGTGAGTCATCACCTCAAACTGGAAGTCTAAGTTTTCATTTCTTTACCCAGTTTAAGTTTTGCACGTTACTTTCGTCTAAAACACCGTTTGTTTTGTTTGGCTCTCAAGTTAGGAAATTGGAACAGGGGAGTTATTTTGAATGCCGGTTGCGTTTGGTCTCTATGATTCTTGGTTACCAGTTATGGAAACAAACACAGATCCACGCCACCTCCACATATAGCTCTCCCTATAAAAGAATTAAACGACAATTCCTTGCTTAACCAAGTAATTTCATCAACGGAAACAAATCACATCATTTTCCAACCACATTCAATTTTTGGTCATAATTTTTGTTGTTACACAATTGTCTTGTTTCTGTACTGTCAAACGAGTGACCACAACATCAGGAGACTGTCTTTCCGTGCACAGACTCATTAACCACCAGTTCATAAATTTGATTTTGGAGGTATACATTCTAAGAAATAACTTGAAAATAAAATAAAATAAATAAATAAATAAATATATATATATATATATATATATATATATATATATATATATATATATATATATATATATATATATATATATATATATATATATATATATATATATATATATAAAGCTCCTTCTGTCATATGAACTGAAGAAATTTCATAAAAATAATTTACGTTTAATTGTTGAGATAATAGATTATACTGTATATTTTTTTATTAATTTATACCGATTCATTATGATATTAATAATTGTATAATAATCTCATATAAAACATAATTGATAATTATATTTATTGATATTTTTGAGATAATTAATTATATTGTAAATACTTTATTAGTTTATACTTATTTTATTATAATATTAAAATAATAAATATATTTTTATTTGATTTTTTTATCTAATTTTATTTTTTAATTAATTCAAATTTTTTTTCTTATTTTCTTCTTTTCTTTAAAACTGCAATACACTAGGTGAAACATAACTTTTACATTATAAATCATTATTTTATCTTAATAAATTTTAACTTACTTATTAACTTCTTCAAAGTAATATAGTCAACATAAAATTTTTATGAAAATTTAAAATTATAATTTCCATTTCATTTCATTTCATAGTCTTTTTAACTTAATAGCATTAAATGTTTTCTATTTTATCCTAAAACATCTAAATAATGATAATATATTTTGATTCTATTTCGTTCTAATTATCCTATTTTGTTATATTCTTTTTTTTATCATCAATTCAAATATAAATTAAGAGTATGTTATATATTTTTTATAAATTCTTTTTATTTATAACAAATAGATGTATTCATGTCTTTAGAAAGTTAGATAATTATAGAAGGAAAATATTACATATCGGGAAATTGGAGAACTAGGTTTAAGATTGTATTTCAATTGAGGGGAAAATTTGACATAATTAAGAGAAATAGTGAATTATTTGAAAAGAGAAAAAGATAATAGATTTGAAGAGATTTAAGAATATTTAAGGAGATTTATTTTAATTGACTCACAATTGAATATAAAAAAATTGAATAATAATTTTTTAATATAATAATCAAAATACATTTATTGTTAGAATAGATAAATTAAGTAAAAATAATAATTATGATATAATTAAATATAAGAATGTTAAATAATTTACACTATAAGTAATATTTAAATATATTAATATTATTTTATATATAAGTATATTAAAAATATATTATTAAAAAATTAAAAATTATTAATTTACATTATAGTATTCTTATATTTAAGTAAATTAAAAGTTTATTTAAATATATTTTTAATTTTATTTTATATAAAAAATATTTTCATATTCTAATATTAATCCATATATAATAAATATAATAATATAATTGTATTAATATAATGATATTATTTTTTAATATAATTGATTACTTATATTTATATTCATATAATCTATTAGATATAACTTAAAATCATTATAATATAATCTATTAATTAAAATTATATATTGTAATGATAAGAGGGTTTTACTTTACAGTTTTTTCATAATATGGAATTAAGTACGAGGTTCGAGTAAATATATAATAACAATAATAATAATAATTAATTATGATTCTAAAAATTATTCTATCCAAATTAATTTTTTAAAGAAGAATCATTTTTAATAATGATATATTTAATCTATCTTAATAATATAAAAAATAATTTAAAATTAATTATATTATAACATATTATCTTTTTTAGATTAATTATCCTAATTAATATACCTTTTAGGAAAAAATAAAATAAAATACAAAAAAATAAAAATAAAAGGTGAAATGAATATGACTATTAAAGATAAGATCCTAACAAATAAAATAGATGATGTTAATAAAATATTAATCACATAACTTTTTTAAGAGGGGTGAATTGAGTTTTTAAAAATCTTTTTAATTTCTAATCAACTATTTAAAGAAATTTTTCTGATAATCAATTATAAAAGAAATATCACAGTTTCAAGAAAACAAGAATATTAAGATAGAGAGAAGAATAAAAGACTTACAAATGTATATGGTTCGATTCTTCTTGAATCTACATCCAATTTTAACCAAACAACCTTAATTTGGAGTTTTTCACATTAAAGCGATTTATAATCTAATCAAATGATCTTGATATACAACAACTTCTAATCAAGATCATAACACTTGAAAATATTCCACCTCACAATTTTTAAGTTACCTTGATGTAGCTAGTCTCACATACATCAAAACTTAAGAATAAGATACAAAAGAAAGATATGAAATAAATTCATTTTGGATTTGACGAATTATGCACCCTATAGCTAAACAATCTTTCTTTGAAATTAATCTTCAAAATATTTTGCAGAATTATGTTCTTTCCTTAATGCCCAAAACATTTTTTTCTAATTGCTTTTGTTTGTATTTGAAAATTGATATTAATTAAAGAAAATTTGTATCCTTTTATAGAAAGAAAATTTTTGTAACTGTCACAGATAATCGATTAGCAGATCTATCTAATCGATTATTTGAGTGTAATGATAGTTTAAAAATAGTCAGATAGTCGATTAGGTGCTTACATAATCGATTATTAGTGTGTTGTGTTAAAATAAAATGTTTGACAAATAATCAATTAAGCATCCACATAATCGATTATTAGCGCGTCTTATAAAAACTTAATTTTAAGTCATATAATTGATTAACCATTTATCTAATCGATTATTAACACATTATGTTAAAACAAAATTTTTGACAAATAATCGATTAAGTTACCACATAATCGATTATTAGTGCGTCTTATGAAAACTTAATTTTAAGTTATATAATCGATTAACCTTTTATCTAATCGATTATTAATGCTTCAATTTTAACATAATTGATTATTTTTACTTTCAAAGTTTTTGATTATTTTGGCTTTATACAAACTAACTATACTAATTACCTATCCATCATTTGACATCATCAAAAAGAAATTTTCTAGATATCTTCCCTCTTCATCAACAATCTCCCTCTTTTTTAATGATGGCCAACCACTAAGGAAAAAAAAAGAAAATTTTGAAAGTTTCTTAGCAGTGTCAATAAGCAGTAGTAGTATTTCTTCCCTTTGAACTCTTTCTCCCCCTTTGACTTAATAAAAAAAGGTTAAACATGTAGGAAGAGTAATAACATAATATTTAAAAACAAAGTTATAACATTATATAGTTACAAACCAACTAAAGTAAAAATCAATTATTACAATGCATCATAGAAATTGTCCAAGCAGATTTAAACATAAGATTAAGAAAAAAGATTATGCATCATTGTTGGAGGAAATTTGGACAGTTCCATCACTATCATTTTCATCATCTTCAGTACCACCTTGTTCTTTTTGCAACATGGATATAATGGATGAGACTTGATCATCCAATGCATCAAATATGGAACAACAATATTGATGTTTATCCTTCTGCCATAGATGAATATTATCTAGTTTCTCTAACATGCTCTGTTCAAATGCAAAAAAGTTACTCCTAGCAGGTGAATCAGGGATATTGACATTAATAGGTTCAACCTATTCATCAACAAACTATTCTTCATCTTTGAAGAACCATTCATCATCCCTTTTTACCAATCCCATATGATGAAGAGTAGACTTTCCTATGGCATTTGCATGGCCCATCATAGTGAAGGATTCTCCATCCACATTAACACTAACGTATTCAAATACTTTAGACAAAAATACAAAATATGGTAATGGATAGATAGGAAGCCTATAGGATTTTCTCATGTTATTACTAACAACAGCAGACTAGTCAACTTGAAATCTAGACTTGAGAGCATGAATTATATACATGTCTTTGGAAGCTAGCTGAGCATGATTGTTCCCCCTAGCTACAAGAATCCAGGCGATTATAAAGGCTAACATTCTTTCCTCTTTCTTCATACCACTAGTCTTATAGATTGAATAATCCCTGGCAGTATTTGGGTTCCTGAGACAGGATCTAAATACAACTAACTTGTTAAAGTTCTCAAATTCCCTAGTGATATTTTCACCACCTATTGTAAATCCAGCTACATTAGTCCAAATTTCTTCATCTAAAGCAATATCTACTCCTTTAACCTTAGAATGAATAACTCCATTTACAGTTCTCAGATTGTAGTAGAAAACCTTAACTAAATTAGGATTAAATACTCCATTCATTTCAATAAATTTCTCTAATCCTTGATACACTAGTAAATCTTGAAACAAGAAACCATTTTGCATGAAGAAGGAGATAGAGATATACTTATGAGTTATGAGCCTTCTTTCCTTCTAGTGGTTGAGAAATTCTTCCCTTTATTCATCATCAC